CATGATCTCTTTGGTAGTGTAGTGTTTTTGATGAACACCTGAAACTTGTTTGTTTTCCTTTTTCCTTTAATCTTTGAGGGGATTTTTCTAAGAACCAGCATCACTTGTTGCTTTTCAATTAATCAGATAAACTGACACCTTAGCTGAGGTCATTGAGGAAGTGGAAAATTAAATGAGAGTGGTCAGAATCGATCTGCATACTTCACAAGTATTTGTCTGTTGTTTGAGTTGGCAAGACAGTAGACAGACAGCTGTGGCCAACGTATGGGACCCCAGGCTTCCTGGAGCTCACTGCTTAGTGTGGAAGAGAGACACTGGGTTAGGTGAGGATGGTGTTGCACACCTTCCATCCCAGCACTCAGGAGGCAGAGGCAGGTGGACGTCTGTGAGTTAGAGGCCAGCCTGGTCTTCATACTGAGTTCTAGGCGGTCAGGACTGCAAAATGAGACCGTCTGAAAGAAACAAAGAACAAACAAAAAAGCAACCAGACACATGTTTACAAACAATGCTGTATTACTATAAAACGCAAAGGCTGGCTACAAACTGATGTTTTTGTATACTTCATCTAGATTGGGATTTTTCCCTGAAGATATGTCAGGGTAAATTATCTGAGACAGTGCAGATTTACTCAGATATAAGAATTGAGTAGGAATATTCCAGACTGAGAAAGATGTTTGTGGGATGATACTGAGGAAGACAGATTGGTGAGTCTCAGGAAAAGGTTCCGATGGCAGGTAGAGAGGAGCAGACAGGGGCAAGTACCCGAGGCTGGAGTTAAGAAGCAAGGCCGGTGTGAAGCAGAGCTTGTGCACAGGCTGGCAGTTTCGTATTTTAAGTGCAAGGGGAAGCATGGAAGACGTACTAAGTAACATGGTCATATTATATCTTTAAAGTATTTCTTTGGCTACTGTTTGGGGAATAGTTTGGAAGAAAGAAAAACGGGTTATAATTACCGATGCTAAAAATAGGTAAGATAGTGAATTTAGACTAAGATGGTGATAATAAAATTAGAACAAAGTGAGCACATTTTAATACCGGTAGTAGTGGTAGTGACACTTCATAATAGACTAGATTTAGAGCACATGAAACAGGACATGTCAAAAATAACGTCTTTTTTTATACAGGTTGATAACCGATAGTGCCAAGGGAATGTGGGGGCGACGCTGAGATCAGAGCTCAATTTTTAAACAAATTAATCCCACTTAATCCCAGAGATTCAGAATGACACAACCGTATTCTCCAATCTTTTTAACCCATGTTTTCTTCCACCAGGCAAATCCTGATAGACTATAGAGCACCTGGATCTAAGGTGCTATTTCCATCAAGAGTCACCCGAGCCGGGCGTGGTGGCCCTCATCTCTGATCCCAGCACTTGGGAGGCAGAGGCAGGCAGATCTCTGTGAGTTCAAGGCCAGCCTGGTCTACATAGTGAGTTCCAGGACAGCTGAGGCTACAGGAAAACCAAAAAAAAAAAAAAAAAAAAAAAAAAAAAAGTCAATGAGAAAACAAAAAGTAAATTAAAATTTTAAACTAAAATGTCTACTGTTTTTAGAATTGCTGCCCCAGATTACAAAGCAATACATACTTGGTCTCAAACTGAAAGATTAAGATGTGAATAATCTGCCAATAACCTAGCTTTGCAGCTATCCCTTCCTAAAACATCACATTTTTCCTTCCAAAGCACACTGCACGCAATGCTGGTCTAAACTTTTCTTACAAAAAGATTTAGCTGTCCTCTTGGCATTGAATGCAGATTGGTGGGAAAGATTCAGGTAGGCTTTATGTAGAAATAATTTCAAAGAGACCTACTAATGCTCCAGGTGGAGATACAGAATACTGGTTGAGAAGACTGCTGGATCCAGAGGAGAAAGGCTCAGTGAAAGAGAGACTTCATGAGACATGACCCCATGAGACATGACCCTGAAACCTACAGTTGAACTAGAGAAAAACAGCTGTAGTTTTGGTAATAAATACCCAGAAATGTCATAATTTTCCACATTATAGTGGAATGTTAGGATCACAATCCACAAAAGGTTTAATGATAGAGTGCTAATGAACAGCAATCACTGAATGCGTTTTGCTGTAGGAACCATATTAAGTGTGTTCCAAGTATCACTTAATGACTTTTAAAGCCTGCTGAGGCTGGTAAACTTCTGTCCAGCATGTTACAGAACACAGCATGAGGATTGGAGGGGTAAATCATATGCCCAAATATCAAATAGTAAATGGAAGCCTGAGATGCCAGATATGTCTGAGCCAGGAGAGCAGTTTTCTGTCATTGTACCACAGGACACCAGCATGCAAATAAATGCTGAAACTTGAATGTCAAAAGCTAGAAAAAGAAAAAAGTCTGAAGATACAATGGTTGTCAAACATTCTAGAAAAGGAACGATCCCTGCTCTGCTAAGCTGGGTTTCTCCTGTGTGGTTCCTGGAGTCACGCTGGCTACTTAGCAAGCATTTCACTCTGCCTTGACCATCTGATCAGTATCATTTTGGGGTGCTTTTGAGGCATTTGGATTTTGTAAGGTAGCTCTGGTCACTGGGGACTTCACCCTTGTTTCTTCACCACACTCTTTAAAAAGTTCGTAGTTATCATTGCTGATTGTTTACTTTCAAAATCCCCGCTGGACATCCATTTCCTTTTGTTTGATCTTTGAGTTTTGCACCCCTGTTCTTAAACCATTTGAGACAGACTTTACTGACCTTTTCTAACGCAAATTACATGATTCGATTCTTAGTTGAAGAAATTGCCTTAATTTGAATTGTTTAAAATAAGGGGGAAGCAAAGAGGTATTTCAATTCAATTTTATCAAAATCCTAAATGATATAATAATAAATGCATAGTTATTGAAACTTCTACAAAGGTTGCGGATGAAAGGAAAAGTGTCAATCATTCCCTCTCATCCTTCTGTCCACCCCACCTCTAAGCATGCCTGTTCTGGCTAACAGCAGTGCATAGCTCTCATTTCTAGCATCCTCAATAAGACCAGGGCTTTGAGCAGCAAGCCACGTTCCTGAGAAGAAGGGGAGCAGCCTTTGTGGAGGTGATGAAGCCTGCACTGGGGAATGCTTACACCTGGCGGCTGGCACTCTCCTGTGTGACTGGTGTTCTGTCATCTGGCCTTTTTTCTGTGCCAGCATTTAATGTGCTTCCCTCCCCTTTCTGGCATGTGCTAGGTTGAGAAACAAAGCTGGCCATATTTCTTTGACTCCCTTACCCATTTGCACCACTTTCCTGAAGGCAGTCCATTGGTCATGACTTATTCAAGGGAAGGCTATTTCAGTAGAACCTTTGAAACTGTCAAGCAATTGAAAGATCTAAATAGAAAGCCAAAAAAAAAAAAAATCATTCATGGAAAAAAGTATCTTCCAATATTAAAACTGTAGGTGGTTTTGCTTATTTGTTTAAAAACTCATGTCTTGCTTTATGTCTCTGAAATTGTTTCTGTGCCAAAAAGTAATGTATCCAGAATAATGGGCCACCTGAAGCAGAGAATGGGTAAAGTTGTGCAGAGTTGTCCCAGATCCCCTCCAAAGGAAGCCGGAGTTCCAAGAAATTTCTATTACAGTTGACAGAGCCTAAGCAGGACCAACTGAGAAGGAGCATGGGGACAGGATGCATCACTTCATGTGTCCATCTTTGTGCATGTGTGTCTATGAAGCTGCTCTTTACTAACTGGACTCACTTTACATATGGACGTTCCCTTTAAAGTCATGTAATCTCCAGATTTGTTGTTGTTGTTGTTACCTTGTGTTTAAACTATGAGGGTTTCTACTTCAAAAAAATTGCTCCACAAAATTTTCTGTTATGCATACTATGTGGGGCAGTAGCAAACTTAGAAGAAAGTTCAGGAGACAGCAATAAAATCCTACGATCAGGCAGGTTAAACTTGGAAGGTACACCTTCCCTTGCATTCCGTGTAGCATGCTGAATATGGCATGCAGGTGTTTACTATTCAACTTATTTTTTTTTTTTTGGTCTTTTTGAGACAGGGTCTCCCTGTAGCCCCAGCTGGCCTGGAACTGGAACTCACTATGTAGACCAGGCTGACATTGAACTTACAGTGATCCTACAGTTGGCAAGATCACACTCCCCTTGCATTCCGTTTGGCATCCGGAAAAGGGCAGGAAGTTTTTTCTTTTTAAACTTATTTTTTTTTTTTTGGTCTTTTTGAGACAGGGTCTCCCTGTAGCCCCAGCTGTCCTGGAACTCACTGTGTAGACCACACTGGCCTTGAACTCACAGAGATCCACCTGCTGCTGGGATTAAAGGCGTGTGCCAGGCTATTTAACTTTTTAAAATTATAAGCAACATAAATACAGCTGTGTTAGGTCGAGTTCAGTCTTTTGTCCATCCAACCACTTGACAAACACCAATACAAGAACAAGACTGGCAAATGGCCAGCCAGCTTTAAGAGCTCTAAAGGTCCTAATGTGTAATCACCATCATTATACCAAACAATAACTAATGATGTATTTAAATTTTTAGTTATTTTTATGTTATTTTTATGAGTGTTTTACCTTCATGTATGTAAATGCACCTGTGTCACGGTCATGCAATGCCCTCAGAGGCCAGAAAAGGGCATCAGAACTGAAGTTAAGGATGGTTGTTAGCCACCAAGTGAGTGCTAGGAACCGACCCCAGGTCTGCTGGAAGAGCAGCTGGGACTCTTAACTACTGAGCCATCTCTCCAGCTCCTAATGATGAATTTAAATACATTTACTTATAGTACATTTGAAAATTCTAGAATAAAAGCATAATCAAAATAAATCTTCACAGCCAAGTATGGTGGTGTATTCCTGTAACCCCAGTACTTGAGAGGCTGAGGCAAGAGGATCATTGTGAATTCAAGGTCAGCCTTGTCAACACAGTAACTTCAAGGCTAGCCTGGGCTACACAGTGAGACTCTGTCTCAAAACATAAGAAAAACACGAGAGAGAGAGAGGGAGAGAGAAATAGATTTTCCCACATTCTAATGAAAGTGTGCTTGTTCTCAGGAGCACGGAATTCCTACGGATATGGGCTATGCAGTGGCCCCTCATCACTCGGGTGTCTACCCTGTACATGTTCAGCTTTATGAGGCCTGGAAGAAGGTTTGGAATATTAAAATCACCAGCACTGAAGAATATCCACATCTGAAACCAGCTAGATATCGGAGAGGCTTCATCCACAAAAACATCATGGTGAGCTGCTTTCTGCCTGTGTAGGGTACTACCGGATGACAGTCTACAAAGGCGGGCAAGGCGGAAGAGCGGGCCTGGAAAGGCGTGCTGCGTGAGGGGTATTTGTCAGATCTAAGATAATTAGAATCGCTTCTTTCAGTTCTAAAAATATAGCTTTGAAAGTGATTTCTTTTTTGGAAAATTCTGCTGACAAGCAATCACAGATGTAAAAAATACTAAGAAATGTTACATCAATAGAGATCATTTTAGAAGCTATTACGTCTTCTAAAATTCATTTAGTATGTAAAGCTAACGCCAAGCTAGATATTAGCCATGCTGCCCTTGTCAAAGTCTATTTTCCTTTTTACTATCCCAGCTCCCCCCACCCCCTGAAAAACTCCCAGAACTGAACTATCTGCAGCAAAACTACATGTGAAGTCATGGTGCGTAATCATTAACAGATGACAATACAGACAACAGATGATGCTGACGTTGGTCAGAGCTTCTCTGTTTTTTGTTTTATTTTTCTATGCCGATGGCAAAGCCCTCATATCAGAATATGTTACTACTTAATAATTTGTGAGACCTGTCAAAGTAAATCAGTAAATCTTAATGTTTTCCCAGGTCAGAAAACTTAGGACAGTACTAGTGAAGGTAGGAATGGCCTGTGCTTTAAGACTCAGGCTGGGAAGGAACGGCCCAAGCCAGCAATGAGGAGCCACGCTGGGTCACACTCTCTGAGCAGATACCTGCCCTCCACAGTTAGGTGGAGCTGACTTTTTTCAGACAGTTTTCTAATGTCTGCAAAAAGTCGAGTGGATGATGGCTTTTAACTTGAATCAAGCCATGTCTCGACACGCTCTTAACAACAACAAAACTGCTGTAACTGTGAGATGAGGGTATAAGGACCACATTTTGTCCCACCCCGCCCTTCCTCTGCGCTCAAAGTGAATTTACTGTGCCTCATTCTGCCAGCCTCTGACTAGAGGGAGTTTTTAAAGCCTGTCTTCTACCATAATTTAAAAACATTCAACGCCCTTTTGTCATTGTAAAATCATAGATAGTCTTAACGGTAGTAAACTTCAGTCTCTGAAGACTGTTCAGTTTGTTCAGTTTCTGCCCTAAAGAAGCCTGCTGGGATTTGTCCCTTGAGATAGGTCCATTTTTTGTCCCTCCTGAAACATATTCTACCCGCATTACAAATGCATGAATCTTGCAGATAATAAAAGCTCTGGCAGATTTCCTGTTTTGACGCAGCAGTCTCTGTGGGTCCAGGTTTGCACAGATTTGATTTGTGAGCCCTTCCTTGCTTGAGAATTTCCGAATGAAAAGTGTTCAGCAGGCCATGGAGAGGCAAGACCATGCTAGGAACCATCCAAGTAGAGATATAAGGTGAGGACCACAGAGCCAAAATGGCTTCTGATTGAGATTGAAAGGCAGGAGCAGAGGCTGAGGCAGGAACTCGGGTACCCTAAGCCAGGCCAATATGAAGTGAGAGAAACATTTTTAATAATCAATCCACAAATTAAATTCAAAAGTCTTAAGATAAAACTCATTTTCTTTCCTTCAACTCATTATTGATCCTGCCATCACTAATCCGATTCTGTACTTCAAACATCCCACTGAAACTTCAAACCACCTCTGAATTTCAGCCATAATTACTTTAGAATATCTTAGCATTTTCTCTATAACAGCCATCATTTTCATTCACCACATGATTTTCATGTGTGAACTGTGAAACAAATTCTCAGTTGGTGGATTTATAGTTCTACCACCCAATGCAGACTAGCCAATGGGCAGTGCTGGCCTTTGAACCTTCCTGAGCTTCCTAACATGGAGTCCCAGCTGTTTCCATGCCCTTTAATGCACCCTCCAGAGACTGCAGACTCCCAGCACTGTGCCTGCATTCCTGTCTTCCACTACTCAGCACCTGACACCTCACTCCCATCACAACCCAGGAACAGCCTGCCCTCTTTGAGCAATTTTCTGGCCACTCTGTGTGCTCCTATTCCATGGCCTCTCCATTGCCAGCTTCTTATGTAATTTCCTGTGAAGCACCTTGGTGTGTACCAGCTCCATATTAAATGGATTTACAGTCCTCTTATTCTCCTTTGAATTTCTGAATTCCCTGAGGACATACAGCTTCTGCCTTGGGCCCTTTTTATTCTCAGGCACTAAGGAATTAATAGGAAACTGATATTCTCAACTCTATTCCCTGGTTTATTAAATGTGACTTTCTGGCTAGCATGCTCTGTCTACTTACTGTCTCTAAGCCATGGGCCTCCCACCAGTCCAGCCTATGGCCCCTCACCATGGCCAGTGGTCTTCACTGACCACTTGGCATCTGTTGGCATTGTGGCCTGTCTGAAGCCTTATTAGCAGGATATTAGCTTAGTGTGCCTTAAGACTTGCTGATGGAGGCTTTTATAACCACCTCCAGGTACTGCTGACAACTATGAGGATTCCATTGGCTCATCCGGTCTGAATGTTTGCATTTGATAGTGCCGCACTACCAACCCGATCTAGAGGATAGTCCACAGAAAATACCTTTAAAAGTTTCTCATTCCTTCTCTAGCACAGGAGAGCCGCCTCAGGAAGCATATTCAGTGTCCTATAGCTGCAATTCATCATCAAGTCAATGGAAGAGGACCCCGCTCCCGCTCCCGGACATCCGCGGAGCTGCCCATGGTGGCTCACTGAGGGTGCTGGGGCACATGGCAGTGCTCTGCTCTCAGAACCAGACTCCCAGAGAGACAGGGCAAAGCCTGGCTATCTGCTTCTCTGTGTTCAAATTCACAGAGCTTAAGAAAAAGAAACAATGTTTCTTGACACTTGTGTCCACTTCTTAGACTTCCCCAGCTCCCTAGTGTCAAGATCAGCACTGCCCAGCTGCTCCAAGCAAGAGTAGCAAACTGAATCCTAGAAGTGACTTAAAGTCACACACTAGCCTGGCATTTAGTCACATGTGGCATTTTCTTCTTTAGTTTTGGGACATTCCTCCTTACCCTGGTATATTTTTATTTCCTCCAAGAACAGAGGATATATAAGACCGAAAAAAAAATGCATATGTTAAAGATCTATACTAACACTAGCTAACAAAAAGAAATATACATATATATATATATATATATATATATATATATATAAAATCTGTTCTCCTACATGAACTAGCATTGAGTTTAGAATAAGTATTTGGTAAATTCATGGATAAAGATTATATAAAGCTTCAATTTGCAGGAAAAGATATTTCCAAGAATTGTTGGTAAACAATGAATACAGTTACAGTCCCTTTTCTTTTAGTTCCTGGCTTTGTGCACAGTGTGATGATGGCTTGTAACGCTTTCAAACATGAAACACCCCAGAGCTAATACCTCTGGGATCTCAACTAAAATATTTTAACCGATCTAAGAGAAAATATCTTCTAAACACATATATTTTGCTAATTTACCAAATAAATAAGATATGTAGAGATTTGATTAACTCAGCAATATGTGATGCACTGATTAAGTTGAAAATTAAAGTTTCTTAGAAAACTAAGAAATAGAGAAAAACTCCAAGTACTAAAAAAGAACTAGTATATTTGAAGAAGGCCACAACACTTGGGAAGTCTTGAGAGGTTGATATTCAGAATGCACTCACTAAAAACTAAGAATGCTTTTTAAGAGTAGAGTTAAGACAATAAACATGAAGATGTGTTTGCTTGAAGCAATAATCTGACTACATAAGATGCTGGGAGATGTGTGGCTTTCCCTAATACACACCTTGATTTCCTGCGTCTTCAAGCATGTAGTGGTAAGCACAGGCCATCAGGAAATCACTGTGGGAGAATTAGCTAAAAATTGCACTACCTTGTATTACTTTGTAACTGCACTTATGTGTTACTGAGAAATCTATAACTTGAAAACAGACATCATCACAAATGTGTATATTTAGGAGGCAAAGAATTGTTCTCATTGTCAAAGGATGAGAAGAGACTCTGCTGAGTAACCATGGATCATTTTGTTTATGACCCTTTCTAAAAGTTACTAATGAGATAACCTTTTACTGTTGAATCTGGCGGACTTCACACCTAAAATTCTGAGTCAGTTACTAAGACTAACAGTGTCTTTTCACTGTAGAACAGATGCTGTGGTTTCTTTTTAAATAGTTGCTCTAATTTAAAAAGTCACTCCCTAAGAAGCACATTAAGTTAATAACTGACTTCATTTTCTAATGCATGTATAGAATTTGACAGAAGGCATTATTATTTGTATTTTTACCTACAAGGATTGCAGTGTAACACATACAATGTCAATATTTTTAAAGTCTTACTTTTACTTCTTAAGATGCCAAAATGTATTAAACTTCATAATAAAAGCACTGATTTTGACACTTAGAAAATGACTAAAGTAATTAAGAGTTGGTTTCCAATTCTAAACTATTTCTTTAACTTCCCTTGCTGTACCCCTCTACTTATACCATCCTTTTTCTCAAGCCTGGAGGACTTTGCCAGGTCCTAGTTAGAGCTCAGTCATGACACCAGCTTGTATATCATCTTTCATGATGAAAGAAGATTCAGTGAACGTGACCAGAGCTCCCTCCTTACGTGCTCACTTTCCATTCAGGTTCTTCCAAGGCAGACCTGTGGGCTTTTCACTCACACAATTTTCTACAAGGAGTATCCCGGAGGTCCTAAGGAACTGGACAAGAGTATTCAAGGAGGGGAACTCTTCTTCACTGTGGTACTCAACCCAGTAAGTATTTGGTGTTCTTCAAAGAAATTCAAATTTACCTTGATGAAGAAATAGGGGATTGGGTAGCTGTCACTCACACAGCATGAAGCTGCAGCTTTAAACAGTCATAAATCTTAACAAAACCCCACGTAGAAATGCAGGTTCAATTCTACAAACTAAGTGACCTGGGGAGCTTAGGGCAGAATTTGCAACGTGCTACAGTAAACCCTGATCTGACTGGAAAGTGACCAGAATTTGGAGTGTTTTGCTGTTGTGGAAAATAATATTATTCATGTCTCCTCTCCTCTCTCTCTCTCTCTCTCTCTCTCTCTCTCTCTCTCTCTCTCTGCATCTTCTCCTCTCCTCTCTCCCCTCTCTCATTCCCTCCCTCCATCTTTTCCTCCCTCTTTTCCTCTATCCTCCCCCCACTCTCTCCCCCGTCCCTCTCCTTTCTCTTCTCTCTCCTTCTCTCACATTTCCTTCTCTCGCTCTTCTCCTTTTCTCTCCTCTTTCCTTCTCTCTCTACTTCTCTGGTAAAAGAAAAATACTGATATTTTATAAGGACAAAGGATAAGAGTTAGATAAGCAAACAGGGTTATCACTCTGCATCCCAGTGAAATCTTGCCCTGCTGGGTGCCAGCGCATCCCTGTTTGATTGTCTTCAGCTCTTCCTCTTTCGAGTCATACTATTAGTGCATCAGCAACCCAGGTAAGTCTTGAAAAACCCCGTGGTGAAACAGCATCCAACTGAAGTGAGCTGTCTATTGTTAGTGATTTTCCTTGAAAGAGAGAACAGAAAAAAAAATGAAACTAAAATTTATTTTTGAAATACATGAATTTGCCCCTGGCCTAAGCAATATTTAAGATGGAAAATTGTGATTATCTCCTTATATGAAAATTTTCTATCAGGATAAAAGTTGGATAAGATAGAAGTAAACATAAAATTTAGTGCTGGGTATGGTGGCGCACACCTTTAATCCCAGCACTGGAGAGGCAGAGGCAGGTGGATCTCTGTGAGTTCAAGGCCACCCTGGTCTACATAAGTTCTAGGCCAGCTGGGGCTACAGGGAGAGCCTGTCTCGAAAAGAGCAAAAGAAATTTTGAAAGACTCCTAACTTGTCCTTAATTATTCAGGTCTCACCAATAAAATTGCTAGTAGTTTTCATCATCCATTCCTGTTTTAAAAACTGATCTGTTCTTTAGCTACTAGGAGGTGAGGTAGATGAAAAGGCAGCTCATCTCTGGGGAAGTCTGCATTTGTTGAAGACCCAGGATCATTTGGAATAATGTAGCATTCAGCCTTTAGGACGGTTTTCAAATTTCAGAGCCTCCCCGAAGCAACTAACTCTGATTTATACAGCAGAAGTAGACCACTTTGCCTAGATTATCTGTATTTTGTGTCACATCATATGGCTTTCTTGTTTTTCTCAATTCCATCAGTAATATACCCAGGGCAAAAGCATTGTGCCAGTGTATGATTATGAACTGAAAATGCAATTAAATATTCTTAAAACAATAACATTTTCATCAATAATTTTAAGACCATTTAATCCGTGTTCTACAAAATTCTGATGAATAGGACTATGAAACTTTCTGTTTAATTATTTTAGCTAGTCATTAATTTGATATTTTAAATTTTCCTGGTAATATTTCAGAACTTTCTGAACCAAATGAGTTCCATTCAGTGTGGAAGAAATTCATAATTCAGTCACTCATGTACAATGAGTTAATATTAAATATTTTACCTATTATCTGATAAGAAACACTTTTCTTAAATAAAAGAAATCATATATATTTTAACTTAGAAATTCTAATAGTAAAGGTTATGTTGACCTTGGAACCATTTTAGACTGCCTGAGCAAGCTCTTAGCAAATCCTGCTACTTCTCGAGTTTGTCAGTAATAGTTGACAAATTTGTTATCTTTGTGAAGAAATACAAAGGGAATAAAGGGTAAAATAAAATACAAAATTTTTCTTTCTAGATTTGGAAAACATCCAGAAGTTAACTATTTTCAGTAAACATTTCAACTCAAAGTGGTAGATCTTGTCAACTACCATGAGATAAATGAGGAACCCAACACAGTTTATCTGGTACAGGATCCTAATCCAGGAGTCTCCTTACCTAGAGACAGGTGTCTGTGAAGTCTGCACTTGGACTTAGCAAAGCCTAGCCATAAGGAAGTAAGACATCATCAGTGATGTCTTCCTGGATGACCGGAGTGAGGAGTGGGGCATGTGGCAGAGGAATTCTCACACTTCAATTACATGATCAGAGAAAGTTCATGATCAAGCTTAGAAACCTCCAGCTTCAATGAAATGTGCTCTTAATTTAGCAGATTACAGATTTCATTAGCTCAAAATGAGAATTAAAAAAACTATGATATCAAAGTATATATTAGCTATAAAAAAGTTAGGCAATTTAATTATAGTAGATCTAGAAGATAGTCTTCCTGCGATCTTATAACAATATAGGTCTCAGTTGGAAGCTGTATTTTAATAGAATGCCAAATGAAGTTGTTTCCTGCAAAAAGTATCTTTCATTACTAAAAGAAGTGTCAATCAAGTGAATTAACACAGTTGAAAAGTTGCAATGACGAATGTTAGCACAGTCTAGAGAGAGAAAACTTTGGCCATCTTTCAATGATTATTTCTGGTGTCACATTCCTGGGAACTGTTTTTTAATGTGTGTGCTGGCATTTTTATGAACAGAATTTTAAATCTAGTAGGTTAGCCGAGCATGAGACCATGAGAAATTTAATTCTTCTAATCTGGGCATGGTGACACATACCCTTAATCCCAGAACTTGGAAGGCAGAGGCAGATGGATCTCTGTGAGATGAAGGCCATCCTGATCTACATAAACAGTTTCAGGCCGTCTTCTTTTTCTCATTCTAAACTGAGCTGTCCACTTCATGGTTTGTTTCTCTGTGTAGATACAAGTATAGGCAGAGAATATATTACCCAGAGGAGCCTGTGCCACTGGTGAAGCAAGATGGAAAGCAGTTTTCTGAACTTGTAATTGATGAACACTGCACATGCACCTAGACTACCAAGAAGGGACCCTCCATTGTACATGTTTCTTTACTCAGTTCCTCCATACGAATTCTTCGCTTTGAACTAGTAGATGAAAGTCTGTTTTGATTTACTGGATCATGGGCTTTACTGATTCAATTCTTACTCTGAGACCTGTATCTTCCCTGTCTGTGGGTTGACTGAGCTCACTCAGCTTTGAGTTCACCAGGCTGAGGAGCAGACCCTGAAGTGTTTTGTTTGCTTCAGGATGGTAAAAGGAGTTATGTTATGTTATATTATAGGAAAGAGCCGCAACAAATACCCAAGAGTCAGAGATGACTCATCGGTAAGTACTTACCAGGCAAGCAAGCGTGAGGACCTGAGTTCCAGCTCCAGCACACACATTTAAAAAAAAAAGTCAGGAGCGACACAACGCACCTACAATCCCAGCACTATGGAAGGGGAGACAGGAAGATCCCTGAACAGCTGGTCTAGCTGAATTGGTGAGCTCCAAGTTCTACAAGAGACCCTATTTCAAAAAATGAGGCAGACACAACTGAGGAATATCAGTCTACGCACACACTTGAACACACATGCAGGAATGACTTTTATAAAATGGACAGAATCTGGACTAATGACTTTTAATCAACCTTAGCAAATTCACTGAACCATGTGCTCCTGTGACTTGGGCACCTGAAGATTGAGAATTTCTTGCCCTTGTATGTGTGAGGTGGTTAAGGCCTAGGGATGAAAGTGCAAGATTGCCTGATAAGATAAAAGTGGATCCAGATTTGTAATTTCCCAGAATTGATCCTGGAGAAATGATTTTGAATAAAATTATGGATAAGGCCTGACACAACAGTACAGTTCCAAGAGACATCTGGGAAACAGGGGTCCTGGAAGTTGGGTCCCACTTAACTAAAGTTAAGAGTCAGGCTGTTTCATTCAGGTATAACAGTAATGTGATATAGTAACATTGCACACACACACACACACACACACACACACACACACACACACACGAAACCCCAGTGTCACCATTTACTACATACAACACAAAATTTTTGTGCTCTCAGACACAAATATTCCTGATCAATTCAAAATCTGACAAAACTCTCGTATACTATATATATATAGAGAGACAGATGATATTTTATTTTTCACAATTTAATTTTATTATATTTTTTCCTGTTTATGACTACAGAGGATTACAAACATGGTTTTTCTGCTGGATCCCCCAAAGCTATTCTTTTTATATTTCTTTGAAGATACCATTTTCAAGACCATGTAGTATCTTTATGACTTTTTTGATCAATAGAACATGTAATGGAATTTACGAGTCTCAAACTTTTTTTAAAAAACTGAAATGAATCTCCTACAGTTTGTTGTTTGAAATATAAACACAGCCAATTATTTTTTAGTCATTCTCTGAGTAAAAGAAATTAATAATTTTCCTTCCGTTCCTGGATTTTGCACAATAACGAAGTATAATAAGGCATTCTACATCAGGAGCTGCATTTTCAGAAGAATCGTGGTAAAACCCAAATCTGTCACTGTTGTTGTCTGCCAGTCATATTTTTATCTTTGAAAATATAGTGATTACTTGAATTTTATTATGAAAGTGTGAAATAAGCCCAAAGTTGTAGTTTTTAAATTGTTTTTCCATTTTAAAAGTTAATTTCTTTTTCTAAACTATTTACCCTTCTATTCTACTTTTGTATTTTTTTTACAATTCTAATTTTTTAATTTTTGAGAATTTCGTAAACAGGTACTGTCTCTGCATTATTTCCATCCCTCCCAGTCCCCCTCAACTCCTCCAATGTCCCCCCACCACTCAGTAAGAAAGTGTGTAGATACTTTTGAATGCCTATATAATTATATGTAGAGTATAAGAATTAAAATTTATGAAGATGGTGAAAATATTTAACAAATATGACTACACCTGTCTTCAATAAAGAAGCCCCTATAAAACTTATAATGTGGAGCTGGAGAGATGGCTCGGCCATCAAG